TACCTCAGCGTCTGGAGGGTACAAAATGGCAGCATGTGACAACTCGTGAAAATCCCCAATATGGGAAATCTTCCTTTGTATGACAAATCACAATGACTCTACTAGTCCACAATAATAAAAGGAAGATTGTACATACAGGTAATCAATAGAAATCCACTATAAGTGATTATATATGATTATTGAAACCTGCTACGGTATCACAAGCCGACTCTCGTATCGTCACCACAGGAAAGAAGCCGTAACACCCGTTGAATTCGAAACTTCACTTCAATTATGACAACTGTCAAACATTTGCCAAACCTTTGATGTCTATCGGTCACCAAGGATCCATAACAATGAAGAATAGCCAAATGCACAAAAATATTATACAAGGTGATCAGAAAAACAATATGCACGATATATTCTTCAACGATCGAACGTTTTTGGTATGCACACTGAGGATCATAGAAATAGTAGTAGTAGATTCTTCTCAATGAAATGAAGCAAACTCATGACTAATGAATAAAATGAGTACTTATGATTCTACTGAATTTGAACTGTAACAATTTCTTCATGCAATAGTATATTATTAAACGAGCGGTAATGTAGGTCATAACTCACGCAGATGAAGTTTGCAGCACGAGCCACAGGCGAGTGCTGTAATTCATCAAGTGAGTTATGACCATTACCGCAAGTTGAATACTATACTTTATCTACGACTATTACAACAAATCCTAAGTTACAAGTACAGAGAAAGAACTTTATTGACAATCTTAATATACTTAATACAAATTTTAGATTTAATCACTCATTTTGTTTATTGAAAAAATTAACTGGTGAAGTATGAACAACCAGTAAACTGAATATGTGGAACTGAATTATGGAAGTTTATTGTTTCTTTTTGTGTTTGTTGCATATATGTTGTTGATGTACTAACTGATTGAGCTGTTATAGAACTGTATATTTTATTTGCAGTATCTGTCTTATTCTTTTCGGAATCATCAACGTACCCCTCAGCCACAGTAGGTGATCGCCAACCGCCATGGCGTTTCAGTGCCGTACGGCATCTATTAATAAAGTTGCCGACGAGCGGCGAAAACAATGCCCTGTATAAAAATTACAGTCTGGCAATTTCAGAAATGTGGCAATGTCTTTTCCCATTGCTCCAAATTTATCAATGCTATTCTTTGTGAGTGATATTTCCCATATGGAAATTTGAATGATAAGTATTATAGTGAGTTATAGTAGCGAGAGTTATTATAACTCACGCTGTTTGTTTACAGATACTATTAATTGTACAAAGGCAGTTGAATCATTGATATATAATTCAATAGGAGTAGATAAACATACTAAATTTGGGGATGGAAAAATGTGGTATAAGTGGGGGTAAAGATCCCTTATTCGCGAGATTCACGAAGTGGGCGACATCTAGGTTACCTAATACGAACTCTAAACTGGGGGAAAACAAACTGTTGTCTATGGATAGAGTGCATAGACTACATTGCATTCAGCTTGCTGTAGCTGTAGTCAAACTTGTCAATGACATAAAGTGTTGGCACTGTTGGTAGTGATGATAGTTGAGTTGGTTAATTTTTTTACATCATTACATTTTTATAATTTTAGTGAACAGTGAACTGGTGAAGAATTGGAGATAGTTCAAACGATTCAAACTTATCATGACGAGCAAATCAATGTTTACAATGCCCAGATTGTCCTGCTTTGCATGAACAATTACAGATCCATTATTCTACAGCAGTTCCTCTGGACACCAACTTCAATTTCACTTCATGTGGGGAAGATTTCATTGCTGAAGTTTGTAGACAAAGTGCAAAAATGTGCCTTTTGTTGAAGTCTTCCGCCTCACACAAAATCACATAATTAGCACGGAGAACTGCTTCTCCTTCCACTACTGGTCGGCTTTTTCCATCTTAATAGAGCAAAATATTTGCAGAACATCTACAACAGGCATTATTAGCGTTTCCGATCGAATATTGACAATTAATGTCAAGAAATTAGAACACTTATCACTCTTATACACAGTACACAAGGTAATGGTACTAATGGGATTGAGTGAGGATTGAGTTTGTTTTCCCCCAGTTTTGACGTGGCTTTGACATGGAACGATGAAAACCGAGCGCCATCTGGTGAATAGTATCTTCAGAATATTATGTGCCGATGGAATGGGTAATATTGTTCCACGATATAAACGTGCATTCCAAATAATAACCTAACAAAAAACAGTATCAAAAAGAAGAAAAATGGAGGTAATGAGTCCTTTCAGTTCATATTCGATTCTTCATGTGATTTTCTCCCATTATCCCTTTCTGAAACTCGATGAAATATATTCTGTCAGTGAATAATCGTATCGTGCTTCCTCTAAGTAAAGTTCGCGGTCCTGCAATCCATTTCTATCAAAAAACAATTAGGCATGAAACTCTCACAGTACCCATTGTTCACCCTTTTCTTGCCGTAGGTGTTAGGGCATTAATTAGGCACGCAATGTTTCCTTTCATCCATTCAAACGATCACCGTTATGCTCTCCATTCGTTACTATTGTGATAGATTTTTGTGAGGCTTCCAGTTGCCTCCCTATCTATGATAATGATAGCGATCAAAGAAATGGCGATTCATGGTACTCACCAGGATTTTTGTTTGCATGGGTATCATGGGATTATCTATGTGAACAGATCACTGGATGATAATTATATCGATGATGATAATAAAAATAATAATAATAATAATAATAAGTAAGAACTGACTTTCGCTTTTCTCAAGTCAGGCGGGCTTTAAATCGGAAACAGAGGGGTTCATCATGGCATGCCAGGATGGGGTTTTCAACACTCTCGTCAACTGTAGCCATGGGTATGAAGGTCCCTGACACAAATTGCAGGGCCTGCCGCAGGGCGCCCGAGACAATTATGCACCTGCTGTCTTCTTGCACGGTGTATGCAGTCTCGGCCTATATCCATAGACACAATGCGGCATTGCGAGTGCTCTATTTTCACTTGAGGCACTCGTACGGAATAGACGAGACCCCAGTGCTGCCCTATGCTCCGGGGGATATTGAGTCCGTTGTGGAGAATGAGGAGAGGTGCCGAATTTATTGGAACTTCTCATTCCCCACCCTCAGGCAAATACAAGAAAACAAGCCTGATGTAGTCCTCCTCGACCATCAAACCAAAGCGATGTTCGTGATCGAGTTTTCGGCACCAGCCGAACCGAACATCGTTTTGAAGGAGGAGGAGAAACGGACTAAATATCGAGATCTTCTGTTCGAACTCCGCAGGCTCTTTCCAGACTATCTGTGGAATTGGTCATCCTGATAAGCGGCTCCCTAGGAGGCACAAGACATACGCTGCTCTCGGCAATCCAGAAGAACCCAGCATGCAGTGATAAGGCACACATCCTGGCTGGTGGAATGCAGAATTCCGTCATACTTGGCTCATTGCGTTTACTCAGGGCACACGGTTCTTGCTCCCAGTGATTATCCACCCCACAGGCTGTGGGGAGTAATCACTGGATTTTATTCAGCACGACTCTGCGTGGCGTCGGAGGCCACAGGGTTCAGGATTCAGAGACTATCAATTGATGATATGAGAAACTCATATGCAAGTTTAAGCATGAAGATGCCACTAAAGTTTCTGTTCATACAATAAGAATCAACTTTTTCTAGAGCTGAATGAAATTTCAACTGCCTGTTACCTGAGGGAATTCTACTTAGATACAAACCAACTCAATCCGATATGAAAACCTACAAGACAAGCATCTTAAGGAGTCTTTTGACCAGCAAATCCCAGTGAACGCTACTGTTAGTATATGAATTCTGATACAAATATCTCTTATCTTCAGCTTGCGAATCAGAAACGTACGAGGGAGAAATGTTAACAACATGAATATGGACTTGCAAGATTTCTCGAATGAGGATCCAATTACTTGGTAGATTCCAATGCAAACAAAACATAAGCATGCCTTTCCTCTAGAAAAGCCGATCTCACTGTGCCAAACATAAGCTTGTCAGGAGTAACCATACCTTTGAAGACATCCATTTCGATGCATTGTATTACTATCAGCAATAACCTTTCTTGGAAGAATCACGTGAGATCAACTGCTAAAAGTGCATTCCAAAAACTTGCTTTTCTGTTTCGGGCCAGGAGCTATTTCACTTCCAGTCAGCTGCTCATGATCTATAAGGCACAGATCCGACCTGTCCTGGAACACTGTTTCCATATTTGGAGTGCAACTTCCGAACATACCCTGAAACTGTTGGATCCCGTCCAAAAAAGGGCGATTCGTCTCGTGGGTGATGCCTCGCTCACAAACCCACTAACTTCTCTGGAACACCGTAGAAAAGTTGGCGATCTGGCTCTATTTTATAGATATTTTCATGACGATCCTCTTCTGGAATATCAACAATTGTTCCTCCCTTGGCAGTCCCCGCAAGATTGACCCATCGAGTTAAGGCTTCGCACCCCTTCGTTGTCACTTTGGAGTCCTGTAGAAAATCTCTTTCCAAAGACTCGTTCATCCAACGAACAACGAGGCTCTGAAACACATTGCCAAGAGAGGTGTTTCCCGAGGCATATGACCTCCAGAAATTCAAGCAGACCACCAATTCCTACCTCATTTTCCTTGATTCTCAAGATGTTCTCTGAATATTACAGGATATCCCTTTTCGTGGGAACCAGAACATAAAAAAAAAGTTTCCTGTAGCAGTTACGAACTATTCTGTAACTGATTACAAGAAGCAGCGCATTGATGACTGCTTGAAAAATACTACTTGTCTAGTTCATCTATGTACCAAACTCGATGGTCTTGATCGAGGTGCTTGAGCATAAGAAGAAAAGTGGAACAAGAAAACCAAATTCGTTCATTGATACTTTCATATAACTCGATCACGTTTTCAAGATCCTAAATCAAACCATGTAGTTGAAGACAATGCCCTAATGTGTCACAAAAATATGCCTTGTGATCGTTCAGCTCTACCTTCTCAACATAACTAATTCATTTCATATTTCTTCCAGGTCATATTGTGAACGAATCTTCAGAGATTGTCGCCTCCAAACTTGCTACGTCCAATCCCCTGCTTATCCAGGGGTGTACCCAAGGAACTTGCACTGCAGATACTACCTGAACACGAGACTGCCTTTCATCAAACTCTACATTGAGAATGAAGAGTTTAACATTGACGGTCAGAGGTGCGAGAATATTATGACGTGTCCGATGAGACCCATTTCTTCAGGTGAGATACTTTATTCAAAGAATCAAACATCATCCTGATGTACTTACAATCGAAATATAGTAGACATACAACTTTGATTCAATAATACTAATACAAATACAAATATATTCATTAGTACTTGCAACAGCAGCCATACAACAGATAGATGTACACGTCATGTTTTTTTACGAATAGATGAAAAAATTATGAGTATACATGTAGGTGCACGGAAAATAGTAAAAATACATCAATACACAAAGAATTGTGAACATAAACACCTACACAAACAATAAAATTCACTCTATCGAGTAGTCAAGGAACTCACTCACGGCATAATATGCCTTTCATTGTATGTTGATGGAAAGTTCGTTGAATAAGTTTGCACCAACATATCCTGGGTTTTTCTAAAATTTTGTCAGCCTTTGTTTAGATACACTAAATGCGCCGACATTTGTTGTAGGGATGAAAGGAGTTCTCTTTGAATTTATGAAAATTTTCTTTCACAAATATGAGTAGGTACTCTATAGATATACACACAAGGAAATGTCAATATCTATTTCTGGATGAAGGTGGATTTAACTACTATCTCCAAATTTCAAATCAAACATGAGTCTTAGAATTCGTTTCTAGCTGATAAATATCCTTTCGGAATTACTGCAGTCTCCCCATAAGATGACATTATAGGACATGTAGCTGTTTACAGGTGAATAATACATATCAACCAATAACTTGTCTGTCCAAAGTTTTTTCAAATTGTATATGATTATCTCATGTCATATTCTGATCAAGATATAGTCTCAAGAATTCAGTTGATTCTGAATGAATAACTTCTATTGCTGCTAAGCTAGGATTATTCTTCTAACATTTAAATTGGAGGTAAACTGTTTTGTCTACATTCAGTAATAAGTTATTGGTTATTTCGAAAGAATTGATCACATTTGTTATTGTAATTTTGAGTTCTTCCAGAGTATTTGCTGACACCACTACTGAAGAGTCATCTGCAAACATCGTGACCTGTCCATTTGTTACATGATCAGGCATATCATTGACAAAAGTATGGATAGTAGTGAAAGTCGCTATTTCTAGTATTTTTCTGTATCTTAACCGTCGTTGACTGGAACCTCTAGATCAAGTACCATTCACTGCCAGCGGTCACTATTGTCTCCGAACTGTTGAACATTTACTGAAGTTTTCGAATCCAATCACTTTACCAGATGATCAACGGCGGTTCAATGAAAATTTACCAGGACCTGTTGCTTTCGGCAATAGAAAAACGGTTGTTTGACTAATTTAATCGTTAGACTGAATCTGTTGATCGGAACCCACTAACGACATTGGTCCTTGTGATTGGTGGTAGTAGATAATCAACCACATTTTTCTGTATGTTCTGGTTCCTACGAAAAGGTATAACCTGTAATGATCAGAGAACATCGTGAGAACCAAGGGAAATAAGGTAGGAATTGGTGTTCTCCTCAAATTTCTGGAGGTAATATGCCTCGGGGAACACCTCCCTTGACAATGTGTTCCAGAGCCTCGCTGTTCAGTGGATGAACGAGTCTTTGGAAAGAGATGTTCTGCAGGTCTCCAAAGTGACCACGAAGGGGTGCGAAGCCTCAACTCGACGGGTTAATCTCGCGGGGACTGCCAAGGGAGGTACAATTGTTGATATTTCAGAAGAGCATCCATCGTCCATGCAAATATCTATAAAATAGGGGCAGATCGCCAACTTTTCTACGGTGTTCCAGAGGAGTGAGTGAGTTTGTGAGCGAGGCATCACCCACGAGACGAATTGCCCTTTTTCGGACAGAATCCAACAGTTTCAGGGTATGTTTTGGTGCTGCACTCCAAATATGGGAACAGTATTCCAGGGCAGGTCGGATCTGTGCCTTATAGATCATAAGCAGCCGACTGAAAATGAAATAGCTCCTGGCCCGAAACAGAAAACCAAGTTTTTAGGATGCACTTCTAGCAATTGATCTCAACTGATTCTCCTAAGGAAGGTTATTGCTGATAGTAATACCAAGCATCGAAATGGATGTCTTCAATAAAGGTATGATTACTCCTGACATGCTCATGTTTGACACAGTGAGATCGGCTTTTCTAGAGAAAAGGCATGATTGTGTTTTTTTTGCATTGAAATCTACCAAGTTATCGGATCCCCATTTGAGACTTGTTGCTAAGTCCATATTTATGATGTCAACATTTCTCCCTCGTCGTTTCTGATTTGTCTGGCTGGTATTGGATCCCTGAAAGAGAAGGCGGTATGGAGGGTACTATCATCCGCGAAGCTGTGTACTGGACATAAAGTTGCTTTTAACAAATCGTTGATATGGAGTAGAAATAGTGTTGGTGCTAGAATTGATCCTTGCCGAACACCAGTATTTATGATAAGAGAGTCAGAAGAAACTCCGTCGACCACTACATGGAGAGACCTGTCTGAGAGATAACTAGCTAGCAGAGAACATAGCTGGGGAAGCAAGCCATAAGATGGAAGCTTGGCGAGGAGTCTGTGGTTTCAGAAACAAATGAGGTACTTGATCTAGTGGCTTTAGTCAACGATGGTTAAGAGACAAGAAATACTAGCAATAGTGACTTTCAGCAATAAAACGAAGATAGTCTAACCAATGTACTTATTTGACTATAGATTCTTTGCTTGTAACCCACTAACAATATTGGTTTTCAATACCTATCAAGCATCAAAAGATAGTTTTGAGAAAACGTCACCTCAAAGTTTTTCGATGAAATACGACAAAACTGTCTTATGGAAAACAAATGCCATCTCTTGATATTTTCCTCAATTGTCTAGCGCATTATGAACAAATCATAAATGAAGCTAATTTGTCTGTTGATGATCCAAAAATGGCTGAAATTCTAGTATATCAGGAAAGAATTTCAATAAGGAACTCGACATAACCGTATCAACAACATAAACTTCTATGAAGTAACGGTTGAGTCGATTCAATTGGAGAAATACAAGCTGTTACAAGTTTTCTATGTCATTATGGACAACATTGAGGAAACATCTGTTTTCACGACTACTACGACCAATACGAAAATGAGAATTGCTGGTTGAAAGGATCCAAACTTTTTTCGACTGAACCCCACAGAATGAATTTACTCCCTGTTTATTTGTCATTGTTGTTGCGGAGTTGGAAAGAATCAGAGGCAGCAATAAGCCGTTAAACTCCTTCTGCTGGGAGTTTGGCCGTCAGGATTGCGGCAAAGCAAGCACACAATGAAGTGCTGAAAACTACCCGTTCCGACGACTCTAGGGGTGCTAAAGGTTGCGGCATCCACTATAATATGGCACATATACAGGGTGTTCATGCCGCGAAGGGATAACAGTGAACATTCTTGACATACTTGAACATTACGGCTTCTATATCGATCAATTTTGATTTCCACTGCTATGTGCTAGTATAAGATTCTGAATGGAGGCATCGTGGATAGACACAATTTCAACACTCAAACACATTTTTATTCACTCAGGACGGCTTGTACAAAGACGACCGTCGAAAATAAAAAATACAACATCGACAAGTGATTCGTTCTGATGCTACGATGCTGATGACTGAACCTGCTTCACTCTTCGATCACACGATGATTACCAATACCGATGAATCGTCGAGGTCGCTTGTGATAAAGCATTCCTTAGGCGATCTTCTCAATTACGGGGTGATTTGAACATCGTCGCTAACACTAGACTTTATGATGAAATCGAGCCAGAAGTCATAACCACTTGTACTTGCTCGTTGCTACAGAGCTTTGTAAATAGGCGAGTTGAAACGCTTCAACGACAGCTTTACCCTATATGTTTAATAAAATGAGATATGAGTGAAAATGTATTATTTCAGGCAGGTATTCTATATTATTATTATTATTATTATTATAAATAGTAAGTGCAGAGGCATATAGCACAATATACAGAATGAGGATGTTTGTAAGAACTAAAATTTAGAAGTCAATGAATTTCAGAGGCACAACGAATCCAGTCTTGATTTGAATGTAGATATATTTAGTGCACACACTACCTCCATTGGCAGTTTGTTCCATGCCTCAAAGGCTCTGTTGGATAGGAAATGGAGTCTATGGGATGTCCTAAATTGTTCTTTTATGATTTTGTATGGACGACCTCTGAGGCGGGTGTCGGTGCTGATTTGTGCCAAGCTTCAGTTTTTCGAGACATTCCTCGTATGGTAGGTTTCGTATCGATCTCAGTCAACGATTTGCTAATCTTTCTATCCTTTCAAGAAGGTTTATATCTCTCACGAGCCAAGGGGACCATACTGGTGCGGCAAATTCAAGCGTGGGTCACACATATGTTGTGTACAGTTTCTTAGCTAATATCTTGGTAAAGAAGTCGAAACTATAATCAATTTCACCAATGACTTTTCCAAACATCTGTCCCATCATTTCACAGTACAAAACAGCACAAATGCCATCAATTCAACTTTACAGGAGAGACAAAAAACAGACTTGCTTTCCTCGTGATAGCCACAAAAATCTGATTGATGTCTGAGATGGAAGATCGACTTTTTTCATCATGTTTGTTGAATGTCTAATGAAGACTCTGATGGAGCAACTTCATGTACAGGATGCAAATCTGTGTACAGGACACAGCTTCGCGAATGATAGTACCCTCCATACCGCCTTCCTTTCCAGGACTCCAATACCAGACAGGCAAATCAGAAACGACCGCGGAAGAAATGTTGACAACATAAATATGGACTCAAATATGGCAACAATTGTCGAATGTGGATCCAATAACTTGGTAGATTTCAATGCAAACAAAACACAAGCGTGCCTCTTCTCTAGAAAAGCCGGTCCCACTGTGCCCAACATAACCTTATCAGGAGTAACTACACCTTTGAAGACAACCATTTCGATGCTTGGTATCACTATCAGCAATAACCTTTAATGGGAAAATCACGTGGCATCAATTGCTAAAGGTGCATCCCAAAAACTTGCTCTTCTGTTTCGGGCCAGGAGCTATTTCATTTCCAGCCAGCTGCTTATGATCT